AGGATCTGAATACCTGCAACCACACATAAAATAAAAATATTGAGTAAAAACCGTGTTTTTACGTGGACTCCGTATTTTTACGTGGACTCCGTGTTTTTACGTCGACTCCGTGTTTTTACGTGGACTCCGTGTTTTTACGTGGACTCAGTGTTTTTACGTGGACTCCGTGTTTTTACGTGCACTCCGTGTTTTTACGTGCACTCCGTGTTTTTATGTGGACTCCGTGTTTTTACGTGCACTCCGTGTTTTTACCACTCCGTGTTTTAAAGTTTTGGACACTTCACTCCGGGACTCCGTACTCCGGGACTCCGTACTCCGGAACTCCGACTCCGTGTTTTCATGCATACCCTTATAAATGATGTTATTAACGCTCAAAAATAGTGCGATTTGGGAATTAATCACACTATTTTTAACCAATCAGATTGCAAGGAACACCATTGATTTCAAAATGAATATAATAAATGCAATAATTACAATCTGGCACAATTGCAAACTCTGGTCAACAAATAAACGCTTGATGACCGCGAAACAGACGGTATAGTGTATATGCGAATTTCATCTGGACTTCTATCTTTTATATCTGTAAAAAAAATTATAAGATCGATTGATACCATTTATATAAGCACCAAAGATTTTTTGCTATCACTTCTGATTTCAGTCTTAGAACTAGTTCCTAAATACCATGATACAAACGCTAATTAAAATACCCCGTTTGAAACCCTCTGTAAATTGAAAGATTCTTTACATGTACGTGATACGTTGGTTAAAACATAAAAATGAAAACATATGCAAAGTGAACTCTATATAACTTTAGAGAACTGCTGAATATTTTATTAATAATAAATTAAATAAACCCATGGCCATAGCAAGTAATATACCTCAATATTAATTGAAGTATCTCCACCGTAGGAGAAGTAATATTGCAATTTTTCATTGAATACGACCAGCCATGGACTCACTTGCAAACTGATTTCTATTACAATGTTGCAGGTTTTAATCGAAGTTTCAGTGAACTGTAATTGGTCATATCCTACAAGTGGATGCAAGATGACTGCACTTGTGTACATCGCGTTCGCAGCTTGTTTATTTTTTTTCTCTTCGGCTCGTTTTGCTCAAGGATATCCAATGTCTTCATCAGGAAGTAAGAATCTTACGATCCACGGGCAAATGACATCCAACCAATCCATAATCTGTAAAAACGAGCAGGTCAAACTTCGAATTAATGAGTCAGATATCGAGAAAATTCTGACTCTTATGCATAAGTATACTACCCATGTCGTCGAAATAGAAGTGTCTGTCAGTTCAAGTAAGAAATATTCCAAACTCAAATGGTCCTGGGCAAGCGAAATTGGTCGAACAATTATCTCACTAATTGCAAAAGAAAGCCTCGCATTTAACTCTTCCTCCAGTTTATTTAGTACGCGATCTTATCACCTGGCCACACTCAAAGCTGGTATCGAAAAAGTGAATATTATTGTTACGGAGGATCAGAACGGGTGTTTGCCAACCGGAACCAATGGATCTGAAATTGTTTTTGATTTTCTGCTGCATGAGCTCTTCAGTCTAGACGAAGCTCATGATTATAAGTTATGCCGTGCTCACAGGTATGAGAAAAATTCGAAAAAATACAACTGCTGTAGGGTAGCCAATGACAAACAACAGACAAAGCTGACAATTTGCGCTGACTATTCGTCAACTATACTTGAATATTCCGAAATCTACATAAGTCTTGCCGTGGTATTTTTTTTTGCTTATTTTGGTTTTCCTTTGGTGGTGAATTATCTATTATCACAACAGAAGGAAAGTTATGATTACAACATTACTGATAGTCCAATGGCGCTTTCATACATTTTCCACAGCACATTCATCATGGCAACAATAGATCCAGCGAAAAAACGTTTTAGAAGATTTGCGTTTTCGCTGACAGTTACTGTGATTCTCTGTGTTAGTTTCTCAGATTCGTTTTGGATTTTTCTTTCATTGATATGGGCTTTCTTTTTTACGCTTCTTGATATCTTTGAAACGGATAAGGGTGAAACGGATAAGGATGAAACGGATAAGGGTGAAACGGATAAGGATGAAACGGATAAGGGTGAAACAAATAAGGATGAAACGGTTGAGGATGAAACAGTTGAAGATGAAACAGTTGAGGGTAAAACAGATGTCGTTAAGGAGCATGAAAATGAAAGTAATGTATTCAAAGACTCTCTTTCGATCGTTACATTACCATTGAATATTAACTACTATCTGTATCTTTTAACCGTGCTCAAAAACCTACCAAACTGTTGTTGTTCATCAAAGGAGAGTTCACCAGGGGAGAGTTCACCAGGGGAGAGTTCACCAGGGGAGAGTTCACCAGGGGAGAGTTCACCAGGGGAGAGTTCACCAGGGGAGAGTTCACCAGGGGAGAGTTCACCAGGGGAGAGTTCACCAGGGGAGAGTTCACCAGGAGAGAGTTTACAAGGGGAGAGTTCATCAGAGTCGCATTCGCCGGAGACTTTTGACTTGGGCAAACAAATCTTAATGAAACTCAAACAAATTGCAATCTTTATTTTATTTGTTTTATTTGTCCTGATTTTTTGCCCAGTTGCTTTTCTTTTCACTTCTTTCTTAACGACTTTATTCACTCCAATTTATACCTGGATTACACTCACCGCACGAATTTCTAGTCGAGAGACCGTCTTTCTTAAAAAATGTCAGTTGCCATTCTCGCGTGAGTCGCGTCTGTTTGCACGTATATTGTTTGTTCCTATTTTGCCACTTAGTGTGTTTATTATCCTCTACTTCTTCGTTGCTCTTGTAAATTTTGCATTCTATTTGGTCATCGGTTTTTACCTCAATGGATCATCTTACAGTCCCATTATAACGCCGATTGTTGTTTTTGTTGTTTACTCTTGGAAATACTGGAGATCGTCTGTTGAAACAAAGTACTTCCAACTCAAAACAGAAATTTATGAGGTGTGCAAGGAGTATGAAAACCATGCTAAAAAAGAAAATGAAAACCAAACATCACCTTTGCAAGATATTTCTGAAGAGAACATTTATGATGTGAACGTCAAAAAGGGAACAGTTCCGAAGGATCTCTATGAAAAATTACGGGAGGAAATCTTGCCGTACAACGAATACTTGTTTTATTTCCTCGCTCGAATGTATTTTGTAGTGAATTTTAGCCTTTTTGTGTTCGTCGTGATAAAGTTAGCCAAAGAGTCCAACCTTTCAGCACCTGCACAAATTACGAGTGCCTTTGTCATCGCTACTCTTCCGCTTCTTTTTAACACAATTCTGGTTGAACATACATTTGAAGAAAAAGATGCCTTCAGCAAGAAACTAAGACACGAAATACCAGACTATATGAAAATAGCTGAAAAATCTGGCCAAATCGTAACCGTTTATGTTGTAGGGAAAAAGGAAGAAAGCAAAAAAGAAAAAAGAGGAAAAGAAAAAAAAAGAAAGGAAGAAAAAAGAGAAAAAGAAAAAAGAGAAAAAGAAAAAAGAGAAAAAGAAAAAAAAAGAAAGGAAGAAAAAAGAGAAAAAGAAAAAAGAGAAAAAGAAAAAAGAGAAAAAGAAAAAAGAAAAAGAGAAAAAAGAAAAATAGAAAAGAGAAAAAATGCAGGCAAAGTCCTTGATCCATTTCATCGTTTAATGAAACCGTTTTATGACTGTTTTAATAAAATAAGACGCCTGTTCTGGCGTGTTGTTCACACGTGCCAGTCTTAAATATAAAGCTTCTGAACATAAACAATACAGTTAATAATCATTTAATTTAGATGCCTTGCGAACCTAAATGTTGTTCGATCGCGACATGCAGAAGCACATCGTACTTTAAAAAGTATGGAAGTTCAATTGTTTAAAAATGCAAATAAACCGCATGATACGTTCACTTTGTCTTAAGGCCCATACAGACCGGACGCCGTGCGGCAACGCGACGCGAATTTTCAGTTTTCTATATTAATCGGTGTTCATTTAATCATTTTTTATGGCAACAACCTGTCAATAATATTTAATAGAGTAATAAAAAACACGAGTTCTATCATGTGCAAAAGCGCAATATTATATTTAAGCCTGGTACAAATATAAGTGTTCTGCTTTGTTTTATGTAAGTAAAAAAATATGTAGACATTATTTGTAGTAATCAGACAATGAAGCTATACATGACATTTAACAATAATGTATATAATTGTATATGTCCCAGGGATTATAATTATGGAGTTGCACGAATCTACATATTCATACAAGGGACTATATATATTGTCGAGTGGCGCGAATCTACATAAATAATAATGACTTGATGGTCGTCTCATTAGGAGGGGAGAAACTTTTAGTAGCGATAACATAAATTAACAAAATATATCTACTATATAATCTTTACACCAATTACACTATATAATCTTTAGGGACGGAATTATGTCTAATCCTTTGTAAACCTGCATCGAATCAGCGCTTATTATTTCACCATTTATTTGTTTTCCAATTTCAAGGGAACGTTTAAATTTTCCTGTCCCTGTACAGCCGAGTATAACTATAATAAATGGCTCCGTTTCCTTCCCATTTTAGTCGGCTTTGTCAGCATCGTTTGATTTTGAACATAAAAATTGAAGCCACGCCCTGGGAACGTGTCAATGTCTGCCTATAAACGTCATCGAGCAACGGTTGAAATTATCACGACAACTATTCACATTTAACGGTCTGCCTGAATCCGCAGATTGTAGTAATGAGACTGTGAAACTGCCTAAGCCTAAGCTGCATCCTATTTGATTTGTCCACCACCTGATAATTCCTATATGAATGAAACAGGTAGTTGTAGTAGAAAACGTTTAGCAAAAAAAACTTCACAAACAAAATATTTATATTATCAAAAACATTCGAAATTCGTATATTTTATAACAACAGACTAGTCTGCTAATTGTCCCTGCAATGATATACTGGTTTCTATTCTTCAATATTTTGCGGCGTCAGTTTGCACTTGAAGCTTGTACATCAGTCTTCAATATTTTGCGGCGTCAGTTTGCACTTGAAGCTTGTACATCAGTCTTACTGTCGCTTGCAGAGGCTCTGCTGTCTTGCACTGTATCCAAATATGAAAGCATGTCTTTGTCTAAATAACAAATGAAATAAAGGATTATAAGAGAATAGGGGGGGAATAGACGATTCACGACGCATTGTAACTCTTCAACGACGACGCTGTAGTATAAAACAAAGAATAAACTTTTGATCCCGAACTTTTCTGCGATGGCTTTTAATTATTTTTCAAATAAGCATTTTCACTGCTTCATGATCATGACGGTATACAGACAGCCGTAAGAGCTGTTTTGTAACATGAATGTAACGAGATGTTAGCAAGACGAGTGTCTTGGCAGACTTAGTTAAAACGTTTTTATGATTGTTAAAATGTGTGCCTTAAAAGACAGCATAACTATATAGAAAATCCCCCTAGCTTATTCAAAACATAAATTGCGACAGCGGCGTCGAGCTGGCTGCGTCGAAAATCGTAAACTTCCTACTAGCGTTTGCATAGAACGTACCATTTTGACGTAGCATATTAAAACCCCTCGAATACAGCTCCAACGCATGGGAATGATATTTGAGCTCACTCTCTGTGAACGCGAGGAGAACAGCGCGGAGTTCTTCAACGCGTTGTTTATCAAACGACTCCAGCTCCTCCTTCAACGAATGAAAAGCCTTTTCTGTCTCGACGATCGACGCGTTCAGCGCCGACTGCGCCTTTGTGAACTTCTGCTTGTCCAACGGCTCGGTCTCCTTAATCTTTCTAAGATGCTTCTCTTTGCGCATCTCATCTTTCTGAGATTTCAAAGCAAAATCGATGTTGAACGTCGCTTGCTTGCAACGGCACCGAGACAACGATAATTCTCCGATAACCTTGTCATAAATCATGGAAACATGTTTTTCTTTGTACTTTCCGACGTTGATTAGGATTTTCGAGAATAGTTCTAACGTTTCTCGGAATTTTCCTTTCTCTCCTATGAAAATTTTTTCGATGCTGTTACCAACTTCGTCGTTGCGTTTTTTACTCTTGCTCAAAGTCTCGGAGTATTTTTCGATGTTCTTTTTCAACATCGATATTTCTTTTTCCAACTTTTTAATATTTTCTTGCTGAGCTATTATCAATTCGTCGTATTTGTCCTGTTTTTCTTTCCTGTTTCCGCTGTCCTTTTCGCTCATAGTTAGATTGGTCTTTAGCTATCTACGATTTGAGAGTGGCAATTTGCGTGTTGTGATTCCGAATTATGGTTTGGAGAGAAATTTTGCGCGCGCATCATTATTGTGACGTCAGTTTATTGTGTGGTCACATGCTGATATGCTCGCGCTGCTGCAGTGAGTTTTCATAAAACTGGAGCATGATTTATCAGTATTCATATTGACGAATAAACTTCAACGGTGTTGTAAGTACATGAAGTCATGTTGATTAGAATTTGTTACATTTTTAAAACTTTTGCTTGTCAGTAAAGACTGTTTGTAAATATTATATTTTTCTATACTTTATTGCGACATGTATAATAATAAGGACTCGTACGTTTTAATGATACTCATAAAATTAGAATCATACATTTAGATTTATACTATTTTTATACTGTCTTCTAACATTGACAACAAATACACACTTGCTATTGTTGAAAACTGACAGTCAAATCAGGCCGTCGCTATAGACGTAATTGGGGGAGGTGGGGTGCATATTCATATATTCGTCTTATGCCCGACTGATTTCTTTTATTAGCTATTGTTTTTACGGTTATGTGCAAATGCATATATAAGTATAAAACCCTCTATTAAACTTTTAGCGACAGCCCTGAGTCAAATCATTCGAAGTGTCAAATTTTATTCGTTTCATGCTGATGTAACTTCTTCTTCAAATTTCTGACGTTTCTTTCGGTACCGGCGGTGAGATCGTGAACGAAGATGAGCCTCCCAATTCTGATCGCCGATAATGATCATACCGTTGCACACGGTGCAGGTGTGATTCGAATGCTTGGCTTCGATGCTAGTAATTTTCCTCTCTAATGGCACGTGTGCAACCTCTTGTCCTGTCTTAAACGATTTCACAATGTCCAAAGCTTTCTCAAGCGCCTCGGATTTCCATTTCTCTAAATCAGTTGCATCTAAACCATACACGCCGGGAGAAGAGGTAGAGGGACGACCTAAGAATCTGTTGGTTACCCACCGCACCTGCTTCCTTGCATAGCGACGGGTTGCACATTTCATAGCCTCGACGCAGCTTTGAAACAATTCCGGACTTTCCTCCACTTTGGAGTTTCCGCCATCTAGGAATTCTCGGAATTCTTTAAAACCGATCGATTGGAAGATACCCTCATTGTTATACATTTTAGATTCGGAGGATTCATGTTTCCAAGAAATATAGAAATCTATCAGCTCTTGGACAAGACCCTGTTCTATCATCTGGTCAACTCTAGCATTCAGTCTCTTGTCAAGGGTCTCGAATTCACACTGCAACCATAGGACACAAACATTCTTAAATCTCACTGGTCCGCTGTACACGCTGGAGCCCGCACGCGACTGTTGCTGTGCAATATGCTCCGTGTGAGTGACCCCAGACTTCTGGTACACCTGCAAACTTCTCTTGATTTTTCGTGTGTCATTGGGATGAAGCTTCTGCGCCATAGCTAAATCAACTTTCGCTAGCTGCTCATGCAATGAAATATCGTGTATGGTATGTTTACTGGTGGAGCAAGGTGGGACACTGCTATCAAGGATTTCCGAGTCCCCGCTTTCCTGTACTGAGTTTGGGGGTTCAGAATTCTCCTGAACATCATGAAGAATTTTCAAACTGCTTTCTTTAGTTGCATCACTATCACTATCGTCATCTTCCTCTTTTTCAAATTTCGCGCTAATCGTGCTTGTCGGGTTTCCACCGCGTGCGCTGTTATCTTCGTTTCGTTTTTCACGTTCATCTTCTTCGACTCGCGTGCTTACACTGCTGCATGCAGAACCACCTTCGTCTCGTTCCCCGATTTCAACATTTTGAAACTCCGATTGAATTTCCTCATCTTCCGCTCGACGAGCATTTCGTTCATCGATCAAATTTTCCCACAGCAAAGATTCAATATAATAATTCGTTCCGCCGACAATTATCGGTACTTTTTGTCGCTCGATTATATCAGAAATAACATTTAACGCAATTGTTTTAAATTCGACCACCGAAAATTTGTCTTTTGCGTCGACAAAGTCCAGCAGATGATGAGGAATTGTCGCTCGCTCCTCTGCCGTGACTTTGTTAGTAATTATGTCTAATCCTTTGTAAACCTGCATTGAATCAGCGCTTATTATTTCGCCATTGATTCGCTTTCCAATTTCAAGGGAAAGTTTAGATTTTCCTGTCCCTGTACAGCCGAGTATAACTATAATAAATGGCTCCGTTTCGTTCCCATCGGTCGCCATTTTTGTGTTTGGAAATCGTCAATGTTGATAATATATGCTGCCACTTCGAATAATTTTGCAATGAAAAATATTATATGCCAAAGCCTTCTCATAAACAATCCGGTGGCATTGTTAAAAAATATATATTCATGGCTCAAAAACACTTTACGACTATAAAAAAGTGAACGGATTTTTTAATTTCAAAACAATGCAGAATATTTTTATTAAAGTTTTAAAAAAACATTTAGTTTCATTTTTAATGTTTTTTGAAGCTAAGGAATTTGCAGCGTCAAGCGGAAGCACAAAAATTGAAATATGGCGGCAAATTGCGGCGGGAAACGAAAATGTGGTTTGAGTTTAAAATCGTTTAAAAAGCCCGCTTTAAATTCATATTTTAAAAAGCAATCACTTGAAAAATGTTCTAAAGAAGTGCCTTCGAGTAAAGGCCAGTCAAATTCAGGCCCAGAAAAGATAAATTTGGTAAATAAAGCAGAAAATGAGACACCAATTTCTGAGACTAGGTGAGTATGTTTAATTCAGGAATGTTTACATGAGCCCGGTTCCCCGAGATTCAGCAAAGCGTGAGTTGATTTTGAGGTATTAAAATTTCATTCACAGATATTTGTACATGCACAGAATATTAGACCTGTAGTAATGCTGCTTTTACCACTTGCTTTTAGAATTTGTTTACAATATATAGTACTTGTTCTAAAATATATATTACTTGTTTTAAAAAATATATTACTTGTTTTAAAATCTTATTATAATGACTTCTAATAATATAGTTTTTCACAGCTTATTGAAGATAGAAGTTTGTTGTAAATATATTACTGCAATTAGCAATCCTTCTGACTTGAGTCAGTTGAACAAATTTTGACAACCATGTAGTAATTATGATGCACAATACAAATCACTGACTAGATTAAAATACAATAGGGTAATTGAGTAATTTTTGTGGGAATTGTTTCCCTGGCCCCTTTAATTTCTAGGCCCGCACGCCTGTGATTATTGATAGAAGTGTTCTATACTGATTTGTGGAATAAATACTTTAGAATGAAGCTGTTTGGTCTGATGCGAAGATTCAAGAACTGGAAGGATATGACACCTCTTCCTTTAAATCCTTTGGTAGGAGTCTAAGTACATCTTATTATATATGATAAGGGTTTCCAAATTGGAAAGGCAGCTAATAAAATGTATCAGGCAGCTAAGGCAGCTAATAAAATGTATCAGGTATTACAAATAATACATTGTATACCTGTTACTTATGTATTTTATTGCAAAATTGTTTAACTAAGCAAATGAAAGCATGATATTCACAGTATATGTGAATTGTGTCAATGGTCAATGTTTTCTAATATAGGGTAGACAAACATTTGTCTACAGTTAATGAAACATTTTTTGCATTTTGCAAGAGTTGACCGGTCCACAGTTGTACAGAGACTCTGAAGGCAAAGCCAACACAGTTTTGTACTTAAATAGAAGATGTAAAAGTTGCACTCAGCTACTACATAGAGATCAGTAGCTTCGACAAATGAGCATGCGTGGGTGTTTCAGTAGGACGTACCTAAAGAATAAAGCTTTTTTCCCACAGCCACCGTTAACCCATGTGTCAGCTCTTTTTTATGCCACTGATCTATATGTACATAGCAGCTGAATGCATTTAGGTTGAAGCCAACTGCTTTATTGATAAAATCTCCCACCTTGTTCTTGTGAGCAGCAATTTAGCTGTCCACACTGCCATGAACATGTGGTGTTTCAATGAAACACAATTATGGTTCAAATTTTGAGGAGGGTTGCAGACTGCTTTTTCAAAGTATGTAAATGATTGGGGGTATTTTCAACCTCATTGGACTGAGCTGACATAAAAATAATATTTTTCAGATTAAATCACTAACTGAAACCCAAAATGAGGTCAATGATAAATCAACTGAGACACACGGTAGCTCAAATAGTTGTGCTTCCCATGGAATGGGGAACAACAATTATGTTGACTTGCCCAAACTTGGGGATCACTTTCTTTCTCACAAAGCACAGTTTTATACATTCAATGAAAATGATGAGTTTTGTATGGAAACAGACGAGCATGAACCGCCTGCAATCCAAATAAAACAACAGTCAAAAAATGAATTTCGAAAGGACAAAAATGAGCCAAACCTTTTAAAGCATAATGAAAAGATAGCGGAAGATAATCAAAGGATTGAATATCCTTGCTCCAATGAGAAAATGAATAAGTGTTCTGATGTTTCTAACCATGAATTGGGAAAGTCTGTGAGGTCGACTGACAATGACCACACACAATCAAATCAGAGTAGCAAGAAAGTAGTTGAAATTGATTTAACTGATGATATTCAAGAGTGGTCTGGGTTTGACTTTGATGATTTTGAGTTTGAGGATACAGGTTTAGCCAAGGAAACAAATGATGATTTGACAAAAGATGATAGGATCCAAAATTCGAGCGAAGATAAATCAACTGGGGGAAGCAAAAACATAAATGTTGAAAGTATAATTGATGTCGCCTCACACGTTAAAGATAAAGCAAGCAATAGACATGGTAGGACTTTGAAATATAACAACCAATCAAAGAAGGGGAGAATTGACCAAAGTCAATATAAGAAGGAGAATACAAGTATGAAAGATGAAAATTACATCAAAAATGTATCTACCAAAAGCCTTAAAAGTATTGTCTGTCATGACAGTAAAGATGTAGTACCCAATACTCCACCTAAAATAGGAAGACATGTAGAAAACAGCTGGCACTATAAAGCCCCACCCGAGCAGACAAGTAGGGCTGTAGATAATTCTGTCATTGCAAGACAGAGAAGACCAAAGTTCAACAGTTTTTCTGGAGCAATTCGAGTAAGCAAATCTGTTAATGAAAGAAAAAATATCCCGAACTATTCCGAGAATATTTCACAGAAAGAAACAGAACCCCAAACATACGCGTCTACGAAAACACCTTTAACTACAAGAAAAGCGGAAGCTGGAATCGATAAGAGTTCAAATAAAAGCTTGAAAAAAGAATCACATAAACCACATGGTATGTCTATGAGGAATTCTGTGTTCTCGAAAAATAATGGATCAGAATTTAAAACTGCTAATGAAATGTACAGTTTAAATGGAAAAAATGATCCGAAAGTACAAGATTTTACAAACAGATATGTAGGGAAGTCTCATCCCCCCAAAAGGCAAGGTATATTCAAAGACGAATCGGGTAAAAACTATTCTGAATCAAAAAGTTTCCATTCGACACAAAATAAACAATCGTATGAGGATAAAAGAAAGCCGAAGCAGATGCCTGAGCGTGGGAAGCAGAATGCCATAAGCACCTCCAGTTTTTACACAAATAGTCACAAATTAAAGCAATCTAAATGTGATAATAGTACAAATAATAGTCGTTTAGACGCTAATGATTATCATTTGGAATCAGATGAGGATTTATTTGGATCAGATGATGGACTAGACGAAATCTTGGCTACAAGCTTTATAGAAGGTATGGAAGAAAATGACCAAGGTGATACCAAGAGGTTAGGAGGAACAGATAATGATGGCATAGATGACTTACTTGCTAACGTTGACGAAGACATTGATGATGGTACCTTGGTGGCCTGCTGTGATGAGGCAATGTCACCAATGATTCCAGTCAGACAGAATTCATCTACTTCAAGATATTCAGGCTCTGTTAAGAATGAGAATCTTTCGCAGGGTGTTAAAAGAAGACTGGATATTCCTGATGGACAATCAAAGTTTAGAAAGTCAGAAATCTCTGATGTCAGCCTTGAAGAATGCCCATTCTGTGCAAAACAGTTTCATTCTAGGTATATGCTTTTTAAAGAAGTAATATTTGCTTTTTCTATTGTATATTGCATTGTCACTTCTAACCCCTTTTGAGAAAGTTAAAGAGATGTATTCTTTATGTATGTTTGTCAAGCTTTGATATTTATTTTATTTCCAGCATTTCACAGCACGACGTAAACCAGCACATAGCAATGTGCTGTAGTAGTGAGGATCTTGGTAATGACGATGAATTTTGGTGAATTGAAAGTTAACATCCTCCATACTCTGGCATTAAAATATCATGTTTTATCACTTGGTCGTGTATGTTATTGCAATTTCATGTTTTATTAATGGTGGTGTTTCAAAAAAACTTCAGTTTTAGTTCAAATGGCCAAGAACTACGTGAGCTGAAGCGGATTAATATTTTTCTTTTCATCCATGGATACAGTGTACCACAATTCCGGTAGATTGATTTCCAGAAGTAGGATGTCTTGTGCAATCGTTCGTGTTTATAAGTAATGCCTGGTCCTGGATAGACTTTCACATACATATATAGCAATGTATATAATGATATAATTAAGAGATCTAAATAGAACACAAGGTATATATATGTATATATTATTAAAACATAGACATTACACAACTGTATGACTACAATTGTTCTGCTATACTCTGTAAACGATTTGTTGACAACAGTCATTGAATAAATTAATGCAGTTATACAATATTTTATATTTTTTATAGTAATTATTCTAAATATGAATTATGCGGATATAGGGAAACCCCAAAGGTCTGTCTATTTAACATTATTATTTGCAAAAACCTTTGTTAAAGCAAATATCTAGTTTCTACTGTTTTAGTTAAGAAAATATTCAGAACCTCTAGTTTCGGGTTTTGTACCGTAATCATGTAGGGCTTGTTTAACCCGTACTATTTCCTATGTTAATACAAACGAATTGGATCATTGTTGTTCTGTGCAAACTAGAGAAATAGTAACTATGTATATAACAGGCTTCATGTAAATATCAACAGGTATATGTGCTGTTACCTTAAATTGTCATTTTTGACCAATTATTATAGTCCATAATTTGCGTAAACGTAGCCTCGACTATCTATAAATTACTATTCATGCATGTCTAATGCCATACTTAATTTGTTTGCTAATGTTAAATATTGTTCATTTTTTTTATTTGTTCGTTTCCACTTGTCCAGATGCCACTGGTACTTCAAAACTGTAGAGAGAAAAATATTTATTTTTAACCACTCGAATGACAAGAGGAAATAAATCTATCTGGGTATAATGGAAACAAAAATACGGTTGATATTTTTATTTACCTTGAAGCTGCTGAATAGGTTCCACGTTCTAAAACAACAATAAAAAGACTTTAAATAACAAGTTCTTTAATTTCATCAAGCTATATTATTAAGCACTGGAAACTGGCTAAATTCTGAAGTCTATGGTGCTAGTATCATCTTAAACATTTACTTTGTCTTGCTCTGTCGGTCGTTTCCTTTGTTCTCAACGTGATGCCAAATATGTCTTCATGGTAATAGCCGTTGGTCTGTATTGGCGAAATTTTTAAGAATGATTTAGGTATATCGAGGTTTCAACAATTATCAAATGTAAAAAGCAGATTTCGGGGAAGTTGTTGATGTAACAACATGGGTTACCTTCATATTTTCCACAAAGTCTTTCACATTGTTATTCTGATCTTTTCCCACTACCTCAAGTGCACTCTGTTTGGAAAAGAAAAAAAGGTTGTTTTATAGTGTTCTGGGAAACGCTTTTAACTTCTGTTCGTCTGTGTTTTGTCGACGCTTTATAATAGCAGCGTAATGCCTCAGGCGAGGAGCTTAATGGTAGCAATTTTGAAACCAAAAAGCACATTCTCCTGCGTATCAATTATACATTGAGTTTCCGTTCACCTCTAGTGAGTTATAAACATCATCTGCCATAGAAACATCTCCACAGACATAAAAATGTCCGCTCTTGTTCACTAACATGTCGTAAACCTCGCTGGCGTGCTTCTTAATTAAATCTTGTACGTACGTCTGAAAGAGAAAGTGACGTTTTTAATATGGCATGTGTCCTGAACTATCATTACATGTCGTTTTGGTGGTGTAGACCTCAACTCGGCAATTTTGAGCACTGAACTGTGTACAAGTTCACTGTAAAGGTCCTCACTATTTCCCTAAAGCGATAGGTCTTTAGGCAGTTTGGGGTGATCATTCATGGTAGCTGCTGGAGTTTTCATTGATAGAGTAATTTGTGCTTCCAGAGTAATGATGAATTATTTTTTGTCAAATAGAGAAACATTACTGATACCTTTGGTGTATTTGGTTCCCTAGAGAATGCGGTGTATACTTTATCTAACCCTCCTTCTTTTATGGCTTGGGTTGTCTCGTGTTTGTATATATCATCATGTTTCGAACTGCGGCAACCGAAAAAGAGCGTCATTGGACCCCATGTAGAATTCGTGTCCTTGGAAAGCGTTGACGGACCTGGAAAGGAAAATATATTTAATTATGATAACGACAAAACTAGTTCAGCATTGCGTATCTGTACTGCGATGTTTTTAATTCCATATCATCAAATGTACACTCATATGCTGAAGCAGCTAATTCAGTAATATTATTTATACTGATAGAGTCGGAAAAGACGAGTCTAAAAGTAGACTAGTGTATTTCATACAGCAGAGGTGTCGTGTTTCTCTTCTTAATATGTTTCTTTGTGGAGACTTACGTTGATTTTTCCCTTTGTTTGTCAATTTATTCTTCTTTTCAAACAAACGCTGCTGCCAGAAACTGCGGAATGGTGCAATGCCAGTCCCAGGTCCCACCATGATGACGGGTACAGATGGATTCTCAGGCATGTGAAATGCACTGGCACTATGGATAAAATAATTTTTTGTAATAGTGGAAAGGTAAATGGATTCTTTTAAAGAGGCGCGACGTGTTGCTAATTCAGTTATTTCTTGTTCAGTAATTTAGTGTGTATGGTTTCTTGGATCTATCTTTCTCTATTACATTATTTGAAAAATGTTATTCGATGGGCAACATCATTCAGCTGTTGCATTATTTATTCTTTCTCAAAGTTTGTGTTGAGATGAATTGAGGCACAGGTGACCGTTGAATATCGTCATTTGAACCAACGAAACTACTTGTTCAATTTCGTGTGAAAGTGGTATCTATCAAAATAATAGGTGTGATCACATACTGTCTGACAGAACATGGAATCATATCTCCTGGTTTAAGGCTTTCTAACCAAGTGGAACATACTCCATTGTGCACTGGTCCTTGTCCATCTGTGGTCAAAAATAACAAAGATGTTTATTATTCATTCTACGGGGTTTTCAGATGCAAGAAACAACAGCAATTTATCAACAGAATGATCATTATCACTGAAAGCAAACGGAAACTAGGGGGAAAGGAAAACGAAATATCAAAGACAAGAAGATATTGTATAGAACAGAGGACTTACTTTCTTTCTTAAATCTCACAACAGCAACAGTAGCATGGATTTCTCCTGGGTGCGCTTGAGGAGACGATGAGATGGAATAGAATCTCTGTTGATGAATATAAAAAACTCATTAGCGATATATAAATGTCTTTTAACGAAATTCTTTCTTTTTTAACTTACCGGTTGTAGTCGTGGCAACTGCGTCAACAGAAGAGCAGCGGGAAGGTTTAAGGACGAGAAATCTTGAATCATCTCGACAATGTTTTTATTTTTATGGTACTTCCACTCTTCGTATTCAGATTCACCCTAAAAAAGGAAAAGCCAAATTGAGAAGATTATCTTCATAATCTTTATACTTTCAATACAGCTAATTAAAAGAATCTTGTGGTATATGACTGGCAAGTTCAAATTGCTTGAGTGGGAGATATACCGACTGTCTTCGTATCAAAAGATGCAAACGATTTAAACCTACCTTTCCAAGAATTTCCAATTCCTTCTTCTCTGCTTCATCAGAGGCCTGTATGAAGAAACATCAAATTGTTTACATCGTTGTAGCCGAATATTTGCTTTCAGAATCTCGTCTTACCAATGTTGCAAGGTAGTTGATCATTTGTGGTGACGGTGTCGCTGTGATGTCGATGTATCTTGAGAATGCTTCGCGCAATGTGCAAGGATTGGGCAGGCTATTGACCGAGTACCATTTCGTCACCTTGCCAAAAGGACCTTTAAAACACATGAAAAAAAAGAGTATATATTGTCTGCTAATAAAGAAACCAAACTTCTAAGATTGAATCCCCATGCAGATAACATTTTCCTTTGATGTATACTATCTTTTCAAAGTTGTCAGGCTAATCAAACATAGCTTATGGATATTAAATTAACTAAGCCTTTCATCATATGTCCCTTAGTTACCTGATTCAACTGTGGAGGATTGCATATTGATTGGTTTATCCGGCTGTGGAGCATTGTGAAGCTTGCTGAGCAGAACTTCTACCAAATTGACGTCATTGGCAGGGAATATTGATACGTGATCACCAGGTTCATAGGCTAAGCTCTTCTCTCCCTGAGTATCGATCTTGACTAACAATGTAACATGACTAGAAAAAGGAATAACAGTTATAAGTACAGGAACACACCTGAGATACTCTGTAACGAATATTTAAAAGGACTAATTTACCTTGCATCCCCAGACTGTAGATTTTTTTGTTCAACAAGTTTGCAAGGGTAAATCGTTCCCCGATAGAGATCACTGAGACCTAAAAGATCAATTGAATATCATATACGATAAACATTAGCTTGTAGAAGTGCTCTTTCAAGCGTTATTGAACGAAGTCAGCCTGGCATGTAACAAAACTAAATAGGCTTGTCGCACGAACGCCCTTTCTTTTTTTCAAAGCAAACACATGATGATCTTGGAAAATGTACTTACTTTTACATAACGGTGCAGGCTTGTCTTTCACTTCAACAAATCTGAATTTATCTGGCGACCATTCAGCTGAGATGGTGTCTAAGGGTGTGGCTGAACCAGACATGTTGGTATCTTCAATACAGAATGTCTCGCATGCCGCCTTGAAAAAAAAAGTTTACCATTGTTTCATAAGAGGCACTCTGTGCACGAGGAATTATCTTTGGTTCTTTCATCTTACAGACTTTATAATTAAGATCCTATCCTGCATATAGGAAATATCTTGTTCTGTTCTTGACCAGGATTCCTCAATTCTTTATTAAGATTATGTTGTTAGAATTTACCTTGAATACATTCTTGGCCCAGTTCTTAAAGGATTCCTCTTGGCCACAAAGCTCATCTCCAGTTCCCAACGGTAAAATCGCCTCTCCGCCAAGTTCCAACAACAGCTTGTCAATGGATCGCGCAAATGCGCAGAAATTGGGGTAGGCATTGGAACCAAGACCGAACACAGAATATCTGTAAAGATGGTAAATTCGTTTTAT